GAGAGTCCTTGGGTGGTACAAATGCTAATACACTCACTACTAACCAAAAGGTTGAACAATCCAATGAAAGACATGGTGATCTACTTCTCAAATAATCAGTCACAGAAATCCTATGGAACTCTGACACACGTGGGGTCTCCATGAGTTGGGATCAACTCTCTGTCAACTAATAAAAAAGATCCTAGGCATTTTTCAGGGGCAAAACTAATGGAACCTTTTAGGGAAATAAAATCAATCTTTAGCAGACTACAGAGAAAGCTGTCAACATAAAGTGGTATATCTTTTTTGAAATCAATACAGAATGGAATATAATGACAACTATAACAGATGCCAAGAAGCTGTGCATTTCCCTCCTGAATTTGGTAGATATGTGATTTCTAGTTGACAGATGAAGAACTAATCTAAAGTGACGATGGCTATATGTGTATAATTCAAAGTTTAAACATGGACTATGAATCATAGTCTCAGAAACTCTATAAAAGGGTGCTAAGAGTCACACCCAACTTGAAGACACTTAACAAAACAACAAATCATATTTAGAAAACACAGGTTCTAGTTGTTTCTGCTATTAACTAGCCATGATCTTGAGGAGGTCACATCTCTGGGCCTCAGTTTCTTCAGCTCTACGATGAAAGGTTAACTTTGATGATATCTAAGTTCCACTTCTGGTGTGGTGCTGTGGGCTAATGCATCATACTGCAAAGGCATTTGAACTGCAAGGTTGGTGGTTCAATCTCACCAGCTGCTCCTTGGAAACCCTATACAGGTTAGATCCCTATGGGTAGGAATCCTGTGGGTAGGATCCCTATGGGTAGGAATTGACTCAATGGCACTTACCAACAACAACTTGGTCAACTTCAGTTCTAAAATAATCTGATTCTTTGTCTACTTAAAAAGAATTTGACTTGTTAATATTTTTAAACTAAATTTTATAGTTACAAAAGCAACACATTTGTTACAGTTAAAAAATATGGGTAGTTCTGGCATTGGGAGGGCAATACACAAGAAGGATGAGGAGGTGGAAGAACAAGGTAGACAGAGAAACACTGTGACCCATTTGCATGGACTAAATGAAACAGAGGTAAATAGTGATGCATGCTCAACCTTGGAACAACAGGGCTCTGTGATACAGGGATTGAGTCATAGTCTGAAGTTGTTGTTGTTAAGTGGAGTCGGTTCCGACTCATAGCGACCCTGCACAGGGTTTCCGAGGCTGTATATCTTTATGGGAGCAGAAAACCTCATCTTTCTCCCACGGAACCGCTGGTAGTTTCGAACTGCTGACCTTGCAGTTCACAGCCCAATTCGTAACCACTATGCTACCAGAGCTTGAAGAGGGGAAATAATACTAAGATACTTCACTGTCTTACGAATATTGCTTTCCCTTGCCTACTACTGTAAAATAGACATTTGAGTGGGATAGAAAGGAATGTCCGCAAAACAGAAAGCTTTTAAGCCCATTTATAGCCTATAACTGATTGGAATACCTAAAAGGGGTTCTAGAACTTGCCCAGTGAAATAGGCCTCTTGCGGAGCCATTGTAGTGTATAGGACCTTAGATGGAATCCTGAGTCCCATCCAGAACTTTCTGAGGTGGGACATTCCCACTAGAAGGGACAAGCAGACAGCTAGGAATAGCTAGAGCAACAGAAAATACATCTTCAAAAAAAGATCAGCAGGAAAAACCCAAAACAAAAATGGCAATATGACTGGCTACTACAAGAATAAGAAAGTTGCTTGCCAGGAAGCCATCAAGGAAAAAAATCAAGCTCCTTCAGGACAAACCCCCTCTAAGACTGAAACTCAAAGGGAACACATGAGCAGGCCTGTAAGCTTGCTGGTGACCACACTGGTCTACTGGTGAGTGGAAAAGGGGGAAAGCCAACAATGAGGAAATGGGCTGAGCTCAACCACGTTCCATAGACTCCCATTGACCTGGAGATGAGAGAGAGAAGAGGAAGGGCTAGTTGGTCCAAAGTACGGGGACATCTGAGCCTAAAGACAAGGACATAGCCACAGAGGGCTATAGCTGAAGTGAAGCATCCAGCTGATATGAAGTGAGAGGAGACGCACAAAAACGCCCCAACTTGCAGATAGTACCTATTTGACCTAGCCTCGATGGCTTGATAATCAGAACTCAACTAGAGGAAGATTAAAAAAAAAAAATTGTTTTTGATAAAGAAAACAAGGGTAAATTGCTACAATTTGATGAACCTGACCTACACTCATGGAGGTTGCTGTTATTGTTGTTAGGTGCCATCGAGTCAGTACCAACTCATAGCAACCTTAAGCACAGCAGAAAAAAACACTACCTAATCCTGGGCCAACGTCACTATCGTTGCCACGCTTGAGCCCATTGATGCTACTACTTTGCCAATACATCTCGCTGGGGTCTTCCTCTTTTTCTCTGACCCTCAACCCTACCAAACATGATATCCTTCTCCAGCGACTGGTCCCTCCTGACAATATGTCTGAAGTATGAGAGACAAAGTTTGGCCATCTTGGTCTCTAAGGAGCACTCTGCCTGCACTTCTTCCAAAACAGATCTATTGGTTCTTTTGGCAGCCCATGGCACTTTCAATATTCTCCTCCAACACCATAACTCAAAAGCATCAATTCTTCTATGGTCTTCTTTATTCAACTGTCTAGCTTTCGCATGCACATGTGGTTATTTAAAATACCATGGCTTGGGTCAGGCGCACCTTAGTCTTCAAGCTGACATCTTGCTTTGAACACTTTAAAAAGGTCTTATGCAGCTGATTTGCCTAATGCAATATGTCATTTGATTTCTTATTGTTGGGTTTCTTTTCTGACTTTCAAACTAGCAAGTAAACATATTTCTTTTGTAAATAGGTCCACACCCATAGCCCTCTGGGGTCCATGTGTAGTCAGGTTTGAGCCTTGGGAAGGGATCTGGCTTAGGCCAAGTAAATGGGAAAAGAATGAGGACTGAGTTCACACTAATGGTTCCAGATGAGGGAGAAGGAAGGAGGCAGTTGCTAAGGGTATTGTCCTGTGGGTAAGATCTTGGCTGACATCCCAATTCCGGATGCCATAATCTCAGATTCTTCCCATCCTCGGTGAGCTTCTCACCCATGAAGTTCAGGTGGTACGTTCTCCACATGTAGGATCAACTGATGTGCTAAATGCCCCCTCATACCGCTGCCGGGGCTGCACAGATTTCTGATTGCCCTTCTTCAGCTCCAGAACCATAGCATTCCATACAGGCATGACCTCTCCGTCCATCTCACTCATGTGGACTGCCATGACCTCCCCATACATACTTCAGTGCTATCTGAGAGTTGATGTCCTAGGAGTAACCTGGTCACAAAGCAGGGGTTCCTGTACCACTATGGTGAGACTCTCCGGGAACAAGTCCACCACCTCGCAGTGTGGCAGGGCCATGTCAACGACCTCATGGTCTTAGGTCACATCTCAGCATCCGCTCTCTCCAGGTTCGAGTCCGCTGCTGAGATCTCGGCTGGCCAATCATCCTTTGATTTCTTGACTGCTGCTTCCAGTGTGTTGATGGTGGACCCAAGCAAAATGAAGTCTTTGACAACTTGAATCTTTTCTGTTTATCATGATGTTATTTATCGGTCAGTTGTGAGGATTTTTGTTTTCTTTACATTGAACCATACTGAAGTCTTTGATCTTCATCAGTAAGTACTTCAAGCCCTCTTGGCTTCCAGCAAGCAAAGTTGTGTCATCTGCATATCACAGGTTGTTAATCAGTTTCCCTCCAATCCTGATGCCATGTTCTTCTTCATAGAAGACAGCTTCTTAGATTATTTGCTCAACATACAGATTGAATAAATACAGTAAAAGGATACAGCCCTGGTGCACACCTTTCCAGATTTTAAACTATTTAGTATCAGTTTGTTTGGTTCTAACAACTGCTTCTTGGTCAACTTACAAGTTCCTCTGGACCATAAATAACCTGTTAACTCCCAGAAAGGGAGATTATTTTACATGTGGTATTTTATAACCTGCTCTCATTTAACACAGTTCAGTCATCTTGCTATATCATCAAATGTTCTTCTGTAACATTGATTTTGTTTTGTTTTTTAATGGATAAGGAGACAAGGTAGGCATTTCAGCTTCATCTTGGGATTTTCTTTACCAAGCAACCACTTCCTGCCCTTTCAGATACACCCCTCAGGGGGGAGCCCCTCCCATTCATGGACTGTTGGCGCATCTGCTGTTTCCCTTAGGAGCATTATTTGGGCAGAAGCAAGCCTAAGAGCATCTTCTCTCCAAAATCACTTTTAATAGCCACTGAATTGGGCCGGGCCATAATTTATTAACCTATTTGCATCATTGGGTATTTAGGCCATTTTTACTATTATAAACATTGTAATGACCATCTGCATAGCTCTATTTCTGTATATCTGTTGTTGTTAAGTGCCGTGGAGTCTAATCCAACTCATAGTGACCTTGTATGGGGTTTCTGAGGTATCTGCAGTGAAATCCCTGACACTTCCTCTCTGTAATACCTAGTACTAAAAATGTTTGGGATGACTCTCTATGAGGGAATATTAAATTACAAAGGCTTGGATTATGTTTTGATGAAATCCTATTCAATATGAAATCTGACATAAAAAGGAAGGGTGAACCTCAATTGGGAAATTTGATTACTCACCTGCATCTTTGATCCAATTATCATAGAAACGCACAGTTCTCGATGTAAGATCACTGAAGGCCATTTTCCACAGGGTATACTGGCTCTTATAATGAGTTCCTCACTAGTACAGGGAAAAGAAAATAAAAAAGGAAATGATTTTATAATCTATAAATGCAAATAAAGCCAACTTTCTAATAATATTAAACACGTGCAAAGTTTAATAGAAAGAACTGGCAAAACAACAGATTTTACTGAAAAAAAATGCATTAATGAACCATGGTGGTTATGTGCCATGGAGTCGGAACTGACTCAGCGACCCTGTACAGGATTTCCGAGGCTGTAAATCTTTACAGGAGCAGAACGCCACATCTTTCTCCCGCGGAACAGCTGGTAGTTTCGAACTACTGACCTTGTGGTTCACAGCCTAATTCGTAACCACTATGCTACCAGAGCTCCTTAGTGAACCATATGCAGTTGCAAATATTTTAATTTCCCATCATTCTAAAGACGCTATTTTTAGCAAAAAGATTGTCATCTATATGTTGTTGTTGTTGTCGTTAAGTGCCATCAAGTCGGCTCTGACTCATATTGACCCCATATAGGGTTTCCAAGGAGCAACTGGTGGATTTGAACTGCCAACCTTGCAGTTCAAACCGACCTTGCTGTCCGGTGCAGTATCCTGTAGCACTACACCAGTATTCCTATATATCATGTCCATATAAACGTTGTTGTTGTTGGTAAGTTCCGTTGAGTCAATTCCAACCCATAGCAACCCTGTATAGGGTTTCCAAGGAGCAGCTGGTGAGCTTGAACCACTGACCTTGCAGTTCAAACGACTTTGCAGTCTGACGCATTAGACCACAATGCCACACCATACACATATATAAATATATATAGTTGTTGTGAAGTGCTGTCGAGTCAGTTCCAACTCACAGCAACTCTGTATAGGGTTTCCAAAGAGCAGCTGGTGGGTTTGAACCACTGACCTTGATATATATTTATATAAAGTTTTTGTTAAGTGCCATTGAGTTGGGTCCAACTCAGAGCAATCCTGTATAGGGTTACTGGGGAGCAGCTGTGGATCTTGGACCACTGACCTTGCAATTCAAACCGACTTTGCAGTCCAGCGCATTAACCCACAGAGCCATAGTGTGTGTGTGTCTGTGTGTGTATAGTTGTTGTTAAGTGCTGTTGAATTTGTTAGAATGCAGAGCCATAATGTGTGTGTGTGTTTGTGTATACATATATATACACATATATTTATAGTTGTTGTTACGTGCTATTGAGTTGGTTAGAACTCAGCGACCTTATTTAGGGTTTCCAAGAAATGACTGGTGAGTTTGAACTGTTGACCTTGTGGTTCAAACGCCCTTGAGGTCAAGTGCTTACCATATAGTAGATACAAAAGATGTAACCATTTTGTAAGTAAAAGTTTTCATAGGAGCATCTTCCATTTATAGCAACAACATATGGCAGGAATAGGCTGCATCTACATTTATATATATGTTGTTGTCAGGTGCCACCGAGTTGGAACCGACTCATAGCGACCCCATGCACAGCAGAATGAAACAATGTCTGATCCTGGGCCAACCTCATTACCACTGCCACACTCGATGCCATCAATGATGCCACCTGGCCGATCCATCTCGTTGGGGGTATTCCTCTTTTTCTCTGACCCTCCATCTTACCCAGCATGACATCCTTTTCCAGCGACTGTTCCCTCTTGACAATATGTCCAAAGTATGAGAGATGAAGCTTAGCCATCCTGGCCTCCAAAGATCACTCTGGCTGCACTTCTTCCAAAACAGATCTATTGGTTCT